GGCGGCGGCGGTACCTGCGCTCCCGGACGGAGAGTCCCTCACGGCCACAGCGACTCCTCAGCCCCAACAACACAAGATGGCGGTTGCGCCGCCACGCAATGTCACGTGAGCGCGAGCCCCGCCCTCGCGGCCGCCGCCGCGGGGCCCGGATGGGAGGCGGGCGGCTCTTCCCCTCCTCCCCTCCCCGGGCCTCGCCGAAGCTCCGCCCCCCGCGTGACGACAGGCGGTGTCTGCGCGCGCTCCTCCCTTCCCCTCCCCCTCGCGCGCCGCGGGGTACTGTGGGAAGGAGGCCGTTAACCCGCCGGCTGCCGGCGCAGCGCGGCGCCATTTTGTCGCGGCCGTTGGAGCCGCCGTGATGATGGGGGGGGGGGGTCCTGCGGTCACATACGCGGTTTCTTGCCCTGGATGGGGTTGTGCAGCCCGCGAAACGTTGCAGTGTGGCACAGCGGCTGCTTTGGCACTGAAATTCTGAAATTTGGCACTGAAATTCCTGTGGGGAAAGTGTTGGGAGCTGTGAACAACTTCCCCCTTTCCCTCCCTTTTTTTTCCTTTCAACTAAAAATATCGTTTTATTTTTAGCCCTGAAATTCCTTTTGGAACACGACGCAGCCAGAAAAAAAAAAATGAAACAAACTCTCCATGTTATACACTGTTGAGGAAATAACTGTTTTCAGCAGAAACAACTTGATCCCAACAGAATGCCCCCCCCCCCAAAAATAAAAATAAAAAAAAATATCCTCTTTGGGAGAGCTGAGAAAGTAAAGCTCCCTAGCAAGGAGCTGGTCCCCGATGAGGTACGTGTTGATTCCCCTAGTTACAGCCGGGCAGCTTGAGCCTGTACGGACTGTGACGTGGGTTAGGAGAGATACAGCTGTGCGCCTTGAGCTGCTGCTAAGACCTCTCAAATCCACTTGAGAAGTGGCAGTGCCACTGGGTAGGCACTGCCCAGGATTATCCTAGCCATCAAACACGAGTAGGAGCACTCAGAAATACTCCCATGTCCTGAGCAGCGAGCTACACCCAAGATGGAACAAGTTTAAAACTTAGAGATCTTTTCCTCCTCTAGTGACTTTACACTGTTGATAAGAGGAAAATGCCTCATGTGCAGAACTTTGTGTTCTATTAAATTACCTCCAGGAAATTCAAATGGCAGTTTTATGTAGCAATAGATGCCTCTGAAGTCTTACGTGACACTCTTTGGAGTGCGTCTGTATTCGCCCACAGCATAATTACCACCTCTTCAGCTGCTGTACTCTAGGCATGAAACCAAGTCACCAGCTAGTCTGACATTTCAGGTACCAAAGCCATGATGTACTCTGAGGTCCCCTGGGATGCCAGGCCAGCTTCCCGGCACTAGTGAAAACCCAGGTGTGGGGGGAAGGAATCTGTAACGCATCCGGAGAGATCCTTATTGACCAGCTTTTTCCACACCGTCCTAGCTTGGCAGCAGGGGCTGCMTGTTTTACTGCAGCAGAGGGGCTAGGAACACAGAGCAGAGCTTGGCAAAGGTAAATAGCAATCATACAGCAGCTGAGGAGATGTGGCAGAGCATCATCTCTCTCCTCCTCACCCCCCTTTTATAGTGACTAGTATTTTAGTCACTATAAAAAGCAGCTACTCCGCTGATGGGCCAAGCAGTTTGCCTGAGGACAGTCAACTCCATCTCAACAGCCTGCCTTCCATAGCAATGGTGAACAGCCCTCGTATGTGAAGGCCCTAAAAACAGCAATAATAAAAACAACAGACAAGGCAGGCATGTGAACATCTGACCGTAGTTTTTGAAGTCGGCTGTTGTGATACATCTGTGATCTCAGATTATGCTGATAGAGATAGCAGCACAAATGCTGCTAGTTTTGAGACATCCCGCTCTAACACTGCAAGCTGAGTTTGAAGGGGAACAGTAAAACCCTTTGRTCACTCCCAATCTGCCTTGCCACGGAATTTGTTTGGACACTCCCAAAAGGTTAAAATTCAGTTTGGTCACACAGCTAAAGCCTGAAGAACCCTGACACAAAGTACTCCTAGTCAAACTGTTTCCCTGAGCTTTTACAGGAGTGATTTGAGTCAAGTCTTCCTCCTTTTCTTTCAYGAAAAACCCAAATAGTGTTTTTGCTAGTTTAGTTTTTAAATCAACCAGCTCCCTAGGGTTTCTCTCTTCAGACCACTCCTCCCCACCACAACACACGCAGTCACTTGGAGCATGTCAGCAATACCAGGCTGCTACTAATGGACCAGCAGCTATCAGAAGCCAGAGCTGCAACTCCCTGGACCTAGTAGAGGTGCCTGTGGTGACATTAGGCATAAAGGAACATGAGGAAAGACATAATATCAAGGTCTGGAACATTTTCAGTACAGCTGAATCTAGGTATGATTGAATAGGTCCTGGAGGCCTCTAAGTATTAGACTGGAGATTTATCTAAGACTTTTTATTTTTTTAGCACTTTGACATAATCTAAAAACATTATGTTATATAGTCTGATAGTTTTAAGTCAAAAAAAAAAAAAAAAGTTAAAGAACAATTAATTTCCAAATGCCTGCTCTTGCAAAATTAATTTCAAAGTTTACATTGCTGCACTTCTGAAATATAAAAATCCCCAAAAGCACACGCTGGTCTCTGCATTAAATACAGGCACCAGCTAACAGCATCTGTTTGAATCAAGTAAAATACTCTAGCAGAAAATGACCATTAAGAGAGCCGACAATCATCCTGCATGTGCCAGAGAGGAAAAATCTCACAGARAAATCTGGGCTGAGAAGAAAACTCCAATCAGTATAGCAGACAAGCTGGGCATCCTTTGGGAAAAGGGCTTGTCAAACAGCATCCACCCTCGGGGAGCAAAACTAGAGCAGGGCCAGATGTGCTGCTCATTTCCTTATTAAAACCTGCTAGCTGGAGGTGACTCAAGTCTCTTAAAACAGTGACTTTAGAAGCCCTTTTTGCACCATCCTCTCCTCCTGCCCACAGGCTCCTCACCCCTCTGCACGTTACCTGCTGCTCTGTGCAGAACGGCCACACTGCGGCAGCAGTATTTGCAAATACCAGGAGCTGCAAAAGGCAAGTGTAGAGACAGCAAGGAGCCTTCCCCAGGTTTTAACCTGACCCCAGAGCCCTGGGGCTCACGGGTGCGTGGCAAAGCCCTGAGCCGAGGAGCAGAAGATTGGAGAGCTGCACCAAACGCAGCATTGACCTTTTCCATCTCCTCATGCCCACCGCAGCGCCCGGGTGGGCCTCTTCCTTAGTCCGCCATGCTACGCTTAGTGGATCAGCAGCAGCCCAGCACGATTCCTGGAATGAGCTACAGACTGTCACATTCTTAATTTGCTCCTATGAAGACATGAGGACGAAATACAATGAGAAATGTCCCAACCTRGGACACTACTGGGGCTGATATGCAATGTCTATTTGGAGATAAGAGAAGCCTCAGAAGGTTCAGACACCAACGTTGTGCAGTGGGCAGGGTCTCAAATGTTCACACAGCCACRTCCCTTTTGGGAGGACTGCAAACATTAGGGCTTTGTACAGCAGGGCTGCTGTGTAGGAGGGGAAGTCCTATCAAGAAGGGGGTGAATGCTTCCCCGCTTATCCMAGTCAGAACCATCAGCCTTTGGGGCTCAAAGAGGGGCACCTCCAGGAACAGGGATTGCTCCAGTCGTTCTTGAACAAAGCAGTATATTCAGGGACCTAAAACACACCAGAGGCAAGACGAGAGATAACAATGCTTTATTTGTACATTTCAGCAACAGGAGAAATTGAAGATGCAGTTGCCTGCTTTGTTGTAAAGTATAAAACCATTTAATTATAAATATTTTAGCTAAAAAAGCGTGATTTTATAAAATATAATYTGTGAAGATATATACACAGTTTAATTGTATAGCAATTCTTTCACCTGACATTAAAGAGTAGAGTTTTTTTTTTTTTCTGTTTATTCTTCAATGCTCACAGTTTAGTGCTCACAGTTTAAGCAAAACAGACAAGTGAAAAGACAACTGGTGAGTTTTGTTTTGGAAGGAAATATAAATGCACAAACCAGGGCAATAGCAGAGGCAGAACTTGAACAAATCCATGCTTAGAGAGGTCTCGCCAAGGGAACACCATTTCCTTTGCTGGGACCTGCAGCATTTATGGCATTTCAACATCTGTGGACAAGTCTCCTGTGCTTTTGAAAGCAAATGGCTAAGTTGAGTGCAAGCTTTCTAAACTCAGCCCAGCTAAACGTGCTAACCAGGCTGCTATCCGCTGCTTAAACTGGGATTGCTCAGTGTGCTGGGATGGTTTTGTCTGTCAYGGCTCTAACAAAATCAAAGTCACCTTTACAATTCAGGATATAAGCAGATTTCCAAAGATAAAAAATCAAGAGTGTCATCTAGTCTCATGGTCCATCTGGCAATATCCCTTAGAAGCTATTTCCTCAAACTCTAAGGCTGGAAAATACAGTGAAGTTGTACAGTACAGTAAGTATGACGGAATGTGAAAGATGTATGGTCAGGCAACTCAGTTTTCTATTCGTTCTTTAAGGGAGACGACTTCCTACTCTCAAAATCTCAGGAAAAAAAAAAAAAGAAAAACTCGCCTCTTATTGAAAGATTTATTTCTATGGCACTTCAGAGAAGGAAGAGGGAAAGACACCAACATGATGCTGGGCAGCAGAAAAATCTACACAAAACCAAAATTAATTTGATCCACGTCCCTAGTAACTCTCTCTCTCTCTCTTCACAGTGTTTTCACAGTGCCTGTGGCACAGGGCTTTGAGGAGGACAAGGGGAAGAGTCAAGGATGTGTGACAACACCCAACAGCAGTACAAACATACAGGAAACACATCTGTACTTCRTACACCCTGATTCACACAAGACCTCACTACTTGCCTGTAAGCAAGGAATGAATTAGTAAGGAGTTACGAGGAAATGGTGCATAGAAAAGGAGGAAAGAATGAAGTAGGCAAACAACACTTGTCAGTGCTCACCCATGATTTGCTACTTGCTGTTTCAGCTTCTGGATGATGCGCTTCTGGTGGTTCTGAGCAAACAGCACATACACAGCTCTTACGGTTCACACTGTTGCAAGTGCACAGTAACTGCAAGAGTTGCGTCCTTAGCAATTCAGAAGGATCTTCAGAGAGGAAGGCTACAGAAGCTGTAACAAGTTTCAGGCAGGATCCAGGCAGTACTCTCCAGGTAGAACCCTGATCTGGGAAACGTACCAAGTCATGTGCAATCTCAGAGCCTATGTTGGCCAGTCTGCTACTGGCTAAACGCAGACTTCAGCTCCCTGAAAGCTGCTCGGCGGTTTCTCCTTTCCTCCTCTTCCCGCTTCCGCTCATCCTGCTCAGCTTTTATCTCCGCTTCAAACTTACTGGCTGAAGACAGAGCTTGAGCCTTTAGGAGAGAGAGGAAACATAATTAAGAGAGCGTCAAGCCTTGCGTCAGAGGCAGAGCGGAGTCCGAGCTGCTCCCACGTGAGCAGCACACAGTGCCACACCTGCTGCTCGCTGGGAAGCTCTGCCAGGAGGGGTTAAGTATTAATTACACTGCAGCACTTGGGTGCCTACACCAAGGACCTGATAGCTCCCTTGACTGACATCAATACAGGAAAGGCCATTTATGATTAAGTCACTAACAAGAGACCAAAATAATGCCATCAGTACTAGGCCAAGTACTTCTTTCTGTGGCCAACCGGCATAGTTTAAGCTGTGAGTGTACACTGACAGAAACTGCTGCAGAAAACAGTTCTGAACCACAGCCAAGTTAGAGAACATCATACTAGACCACAGATAATCTGCAGATCAAAGAGACATTGTTTATTTGCTGGCTATTTTTCCAGCTTTCTTTCCAGCTTTCATCTGAGTACATCTGCTGTGCAATAGCTGTGCTATGCTCTTGCGGGGGGGGGAGAGGGAACCTTCTTATGTAAACAGGCAGGATTATTTTCTAAGAGAGCTTTCAAAAAGGGTGCTTTGTCAGCTTCAAATGGTGCACAGTTCTCTCTGCCAGCCCCAGGACTCTGTGCAGTACTTCTGATTCCAAAGGTTACACAGGGCTGCTCAAGAAAGGCGGCTGAAATCCTGTACACCAAAATACTTTGTGCACCACTAAGCTCAGAGTGCCAATGGTTGGAAGTCTTGCAAAACAAAAAAGATAGTCCCTGTGCATTAATTTCCAGGATGCTTTTAAGTTTAAAAGAGGTCAGCCAGCTTGTCATGCTGAGCTCCAAGCCAGGCACACACGGGCCAGTCAGCTCTAGCAGAGTCGCCTGCTCCYGAGATAGCGAAGCAAGCGGTTTTAGTAGGGCCTGCACAGACGGAACTTTGTTGCGTTGCTCTGTGCCACACCATACCTTAGCTTCAAAGAAGTTCTTGGCTCCCTTGACTCCTTCGATGGAGACATCTATCTCCGACAGCTTTGCAAGTGTCATCAGGCCACTGTCCTCCTCGAGCTCCCCAGCTGCCGCTTTATGGAAAATCAGCAGGAACTAGCAAAAGAGAGAGGAAGCATTCAAGTCTTCACCGAGGCACAAACAATTTTAAATATAAGCAGTACAAACATTTATCTGCAGGGCAGAGATTTACATTTCTTAGCAAAGGAAAGCAGGTTGAATAAACCAAGGGGCACTGTGGAAGTTGTACTGCAACATGCAGCTGCTTTGAACTCAAGAAGCAGAGACCCCAAAAGAGAGGGGTTTTCCTATGGAAGAGGCCAATGCATGAGAAGTGCAGCTATCCCTCCACCTGTCCAGTTCTGCATCACTGTCCTCCCACCAGCTTCCCCAGCGGTTTTGTGGTCTTGGATTCCATCTTACAACAATGGCAGGAGAATGAAACCAGCCCTGGCAGGAACCTGAACMCAAATGCTGCTAAGCTGACCAGCCGCAGCGGGTGCCAGGGCATTCCTTGGAGCAGCAATTAAAGCTTGCACGCTGCAGATGGACAGAGGGACAGCCTCTGCCAGGAGCCCTGCCTTAGGTCCTTCCAAGCCTCACACAGGTAAAAATTAGCATCAAATTCATCAAGACAGGAGGTGGTCACTTCAAATCACACCCTGTCTAGGACATGGGAGGAGCTGTTTACCCTGTCCTTGGGGTTGCACCTCACTCTGTCCCAGGGAGCCCAGACTTGTTTAGCTGAAGTTGGGAAACTCCGCATTTTTATTGTGTCAATAACTCAGCCCTCTGCACTTTTGTTGTGTCAATTAACTGCCATGGAAGAGAGCTTTCCCAGCACACTAGCAAGAGGCCAGGACAGACATGCACCCTTGGGACCATCAGCAATGACTTGCACTACAGAGCAACTTATTTTGAAACCTTTGTCTCGCACCAAACAACCCAAGAAACTAGAGCAGAGCACGTTTCAGCAAGTGAATCATAAAGGGAAACAACACCCCCACCAGCCATATTAGGGGTCAGAAAAGCACATTTTCTATATTAAGGAAAAGACCTGCCTGCCTGAAAATGAAGATTTTTTGCACCTTTCAGCTATCTGAAACCCAAGATAAGATGTGGATGATTTAAGGGGGATTGTACAGCTCTTGTGAGTCTCCCTGCTATTTTTGGCAACYCCAGCACAAAGTTTTGGCGCTTGGCACAGCGCTGAAGGAACAGAGGGCTCCAAGCAGCAGGCAGGGCTGCTGTGACGCCCACCTGCACACTGCACGCGGAGGTCCGACAGCCGCAGCACTGCGCTCCCCAAACCTCCCGAGCTGGGAGCCTGCTCGGTCTTACAGAGAGCCCRGTTATCCCAGAGGAGGGCAGCAGAGCCCCAGCATGCAGGCAGCAGCCAGCCTCAGTGCTCCCCGCTTCCAGGAGCCTGCTGAAGCTGATGGAGAGGCAAGAGCTGGGTCAGGCCTCCCCAGGGGAAGGGTGGGGAGATGACAGCAGGCCTGGCTGCCCTCTCGCAGGCTCAGCATTACCAGGCTCTATGCAACAGGCCTGTAACCCATGTGTGTTCAGCATGGAGCAAAGCCAACCCTCAGTGAGGRCAGCTCCCCAAACACATGCAATGCATGAAACGATACTCTGTTGAACAGACTGCCCCCCCTAGAGAGAAGCCATCAGCCCCAAGACCTGCTCCTGCCCTGCTCAGACCCGGCGGGTTCAGGCTAATTCCCTTCCTCTGCGGTGGAGCGGGAGCCATTGCAGTCAGGCTGGCATTAGTCACGGTTCTTCCTTGCAGTTCTACTCCACCCTGCCAAGTCCCACTTCCTGGCATCTATAAAGGGCAGTGGAAGCAGAGCAATCCTGTGGTCTGCTGCAGCTGCCACAGGGCAAGGCCGTGGAAACACCCAGTCAACAGAGCAAGTGTGCATGAATCATGCTGGAACGAGGGTCCGGGGCAGCATTCCTCTGGCTGACCTGGGCAGAGCGGGCGGCGCCGGAAGGCACGAGGAGCTGAGTCAGCCCCAGAGGCAGCCCAAGGAGCCGGCAGGATCGCACTGCCTTTCTCCAGAGCTTGGGAGCCCTTCCACAGCAGCTCACCTCACTGCTTACTCACCTCCAAKCTTAGGGTGTCCCTGAACAGGGAGCCTCAGCAACTGCCATGCAACTCCCCGAGCAGAACAGGAAACCAGAGTGCAGATGTGCTGCTGTTCCCAGCTGCTGGCTCACATCCCTTGCTGCTCTCAGACACCTCACCAAGGCCGAGCTACACGACATGTCAGAGAAGCCACAGCAAACAGCGCAACTAGTTTTTAAATCCTTGCTCTAGAGGAGCAGGATACTCCTTCCCTCCAGCTGACCTTGTACAGACACGAGATGTATCCAGACTTGCATCCCTAGCATCTAGGGTTTATCCTGTGGTGCCAGGTGTCCAAGCAATGCATGCCCTGCATCAGTGCCCTGTGTGCTCTGTATGAATCCCTCGGGGTGCAAGGGGAGGTAATAGACTGACTGGCAGCAGCAGCAGCCCTGCAACAGCTTGCCAGGACGCAGTGGCACCCAAACCTGTGGTTTGCACAAACCCTGCTAGCAAACGCAGTGACGTGGGGCAGCATTCAAACAACTGAGCACAGCATGAGGGAGTGTGGGTGGACTTTCATGGGTTCTAGATAACAGCTAAAGTTAGGCATCACTATTACCACAGGAAACTACAGCTAATTGCTGTAATTAAGCAGATTTGCACATTCTTTCCCCCTGCACTGTATGCCATCTTTAAGGCTAAACTGTTTTACTCAGCTCATGGAACACGTCTAGTGCAGGTGGCTGACCACGTCTTGAGGGACTCTGAAACCTCAGCAGCAGCCGCTCTCCTGAGGGGCCACCAGTAAGTCAGCCCAATACAAGGCTGGTTTCCAGCTTACACGCAGAGGCAGGACCAGCACTATTCAAAGCAGCAACAAAAGGTGACTTGTTGCAAGTGAAAGCAATCCCAGTGAATCTCTAGCCCAGCCTAGAAGACCATCTCCCAGCCGATACATCAGGGCTTGTTATCCCTAGAGAGGCAGGGAGGAGGCCTCCGGTGCTCCAGCTACACCCTGCAAGCTCAAATACTCATTTGGACCAAGGGTTCTCATGTTGTCGCAGCGCTCCAGGTCAGCCTCCCCATGCCTGCTGGTCACCACTGATGAGACGGGGAGCAGGACAGGGCTGTGCTGGTGAGTTCAGCCCTCTGCATCCACTAAGAAGCTGCTGCTCTTGCCCAGCAGGGTCAGACTTGGCGCCTCTGGAGCGAGGTGGGAAGCATCCCGCTCCTGTCTGCCATGGGAAGCTTTGGGCGTGTGCCAAGCTGCTGTGCTCCGAGTGTCACTTGTTCCCAGAGTTTCACCAGCAACGTTGCCTCATTCCAAACCACATCCCAGGGAAGCTTGTTTGCTTGAGCATCGCTGGGCGTTGGGCTGGGTGCTGCAGCAGCCCCAGCTGCCTAGTGCTGCACAGCGAGGGCTGGCAGCACCTGAGCCCAGCCGGGCAACAGGGCCCGTGCACCCAAACACAAGGAGGTTCAACAGCACGTGTGTGTCACTGCCGGGACACAGCGGCATCTTCCAGAGCCCCGGGGACAGAGGCACTGCTCCCTCACCATGGGGAGCATCTGCAGCAGCACTTGGAGGCCGGAGCTGCCCCCGGCACGCACAGCGAGGCACAGGGCTGCACGGACATTCGGCGGTGCCGGCTGCCTCCCGCAGCCTGGAGGACCTTTTGACGCTGGAGCAGCCTGCTTTCACCTCAGACTAGGCACGTAGCCTTCCCCGCTGGCTTAGAGCTTTGCTGGCACAAACTCACCTCTCCGATTTCTCTCTCCATACTGGCCTGGCCCCATAAACTTGAGTCTTTGTGTTTTTGTCTTGGACTGCTGGCTTTATGACAGGACTGGAGCCCGTGGCTCTGCCTGGCCCCACAGCCTTTTATCTCTCTCTGTACCTGCTTGCAGAGCAGGTTCCTCATCCATGCAGCCACCGGCCAGCTGACCTTGGTGTTGTGCAGCGCCGTGCACAAAGCCCCTCTGCAAGGGCACGGCAAGAGCACAGCCCCTGCAGAAAGGCAACAGCCCAGCTGCTCAGAGCTCCTCTCAAAGGCCTTCCACAGCAGGAAGAAGCAGTGAAACCATCAAAGCCACAGGACATAAGTAGTTCTGTCCCCTGCAGTAACAGACTATTAATTTAGAAAGGTGCCACCACATCTTGCACATCACTGATTCAAGGACAATGCAAGAAGAGCAGAAGATGATGCAACGGGGTGCTGTGGTATCTGGGCTCCCTTGTGCTGCTGAGATAAAGGCTGGCTGCACTTGACTGCACGGGTTCCTGCTGAGATTTCCTCTCTCCCGTTACATGGCAGCAATTCCTGGCCTGTCCATGCCACTCTCAGCTCCCCATGTGCACAACTGATGCCCCAACAGCAGGGGACAGGCCTGTTAGCTGTGCACACAACCCTGAGCCAGCATTATGTGCTCAATTGCAGCATCACCAGGTTGAAGCCTCCTTGCACCTCTCTAAAGCTTCCATGTCTGATACCATCACTGCCACATGGAGATGGACATAAAGTGTTCCTTTGGTGCACCCCAGCACTGGGGTTCCCCAGCTTCTCACCTTCTGCCCATGTAGGTTCTCAGCCACATCCACACTTGCTCCCAGGGCCACCCTTACCTCACGGAAGCTGAGCTTCCCATCGAAGTCTTCATCCACTTCCTTGATCATGTTCTTCAGGCCCAGGTGGGTCTGCGGGGCTCCCAGCTTCTCCATCATCAGCTTCAGCTCCATGAGGTCGATGTACCCATCCCGTCCAGAGTCATACCTGCAGGGTGCAAAGTGAAGGGTTTCAGCCCTCAGCACACCCCATCCAGAGCAATGCAGGTGTCTTTTCAGAAGAGGAACTGGGAACTAAAGATAAAGTCTTGGGGTGACTCAAGGCTCAGAAGAGGGGATGCTGCAGGAACCAGGTACTGAAATATATTAAGGGAAGTTGCAGGCGGCCTTGACAGCCACCTCACACTAGAGGGAAGTTCTCAAGGSCAGGCCCTCACGCAGAGGGATAAGGGAACTCCACTGCTCGTGGTGAGGTTTCTACTGCCCCCACTTGCATGGTTGCTACAAGGGTTCCTTCCCACACAGCTCACATCAGAAGGGCACAGGCATCCCAGGGCCAGCTACTGCCTCGTCCCTCATGCTCACGTAGAGGAGAAGCTCAGCCCAGCAAGGATCTCCCAGCAGAAAAGGGATATCRTTGTTTGCAGGCACAGTACAGCTTGTCCAGCTGTTAAGACGTTTCCTCTCTGAAAGGCTTTTATGCCACACAAGTGCTTTGCCTCAGTGCAGATGCTTATGCCCCAGGCAGAGCAGAAAGGCAGGCACAGAGGGAGAAGAGTGTGCTCAAGTAGTTTTCTGTTCCCACCTAGGGAATGGAGATGGCCTGGAACAGGAACACGTTCCTATGAGAACAGGAAGGATTGCAAGGACTGCTAGAAGCTTTCCCACCAGATCACACACACTTGGCTTCAGGGGGCGGCAGGCAGTGACCCRCAGTGGTGTCTGCAAAGCTGAGCAGGAGGGGGAGGAAAGGGGAACCATCCTTCCTTGCTGAACAAGCAAAGGTCAGGCTGGGGGAGGCAAGGGAAGAGCAAGAGGCTCTTGCTGGAGCAGACACAAAGCTGCAGGAGGTTGGGCAGTTGCTTCCTGGCAGTAGTCCTGTCAATGGGGCAGGGAGCACCACTCCAAGCAGAGTGGAACACTTGCTGCAGAGGGGCAGCCAGGAGCTGGGGGGCTCCGACCTCCAACAACTGGGAAAGGCAGCTCCTGGCACAGCCTTGCCGCTTCYGTCTCCAGGAGGCAGTCAGATGCTCCCACCAGGATCCTTCATTCACTGTTAGCTCTCCTCCAAGGAAAGTGACAGCTGTGGCCATCCTAAACCAAAGCACAATTGTGGTTCCCCTGGAAGATGGCATTTTCCAGCTGGCAAAGCTCATGGCCACAGAGCAAAATGCAGCAGAGAAAAGCATGAATGCAGTTGCATGCCCCAAGCTGCCTGCTATTGTGGGCAGGACATCCCAGCACTTCCCTTCTCTAGAAGCTAGAGCTGCAATCAGCCTCATCAGTGTTTCCAGAGAGCCCTACCACCTCTAAAACCAGCTTTTGGACTTGGCCTCATAGGTCCAAGTGACCCTGAATGGCAGGGAAAAAAAGCTCCTTCTCAAGCTCCCTATCCCCAGGCTAGCTTGTACTCTCCCAGCAGCGTGTACTCTGTTTCCGACCTGCCTGGAGCACTCTGCATTCAGCGAGTACATGAATCCATCAAGTGTGAAGGAGTTTGGAAAAACTAGTGGAGCACTGAGACCTCTATAGGAGCAGAAAACAGGTCATAGACCTCACAACTCAGAGCAAAGAAAGGCACAAGGTTTAGCACCACAGGAAAGCAGCCAGTTAATTTTAAGCTGTAGGTTAGCATCTTCACCACACCCAGCACTGAGCTGCATTTTCAAGGCCTCACCAAAACAATACATAAAATCCCTCCTGTCTTATCCATTTGCTTTAAGYTGGGGGAAAAAAAATGGGAGGGTCCTCTGAAATAAGGACTATAGTGGCAGGAAGCATTTGTGATTCAGGGATTCTTTTGGCTCCAAGAGCTGCCACTTGTTCGTGGCTGGTGCGTCCAGGTGCTCCCAGGACACTGAGTCCATGGGTGAAACCAGAAGGGTTAAGCAGGCAGGCTGGGTGCCAAGTCCATGGGCATGGCTTCAGGGCTCTGTCCTCGCAGCGAGGAGACAGCACAAAGCCAGGATTGTGAGAAACTGGGTCTTGTCAGCAGTGGGCCGCGGTGGCGGAGCAGCGCGCTGCACCGGCCACACAATAGCGCTCAGTGCATGGTGCCGGGCTCGCCGAAAGCCAGGAGCCCCACGCAGCAGCGGGACGGGCTGCTGAAGGGCTTGGGGCCGCRGTGTGCCGCAGCGCAGCTCCCAAGGACAGTGGGCACCAAGAACCGCTGCAGAGCAGAAGGACAAGGCCCTCTGTCAGGGACAGGAGAAGGGACAAAGAGGACATGGGCCCTCAGCAGCAGCCCTGCTGAGCGGCAGCAGCACCGTTGCTGCAAGTTGCTGCATTGCCTCCCCACCCCCACTCGCCTCCTGAAGCAGCCCAAGTATTTTAGGACCTTGCTGCATCCACCCGACAGCCACGGCACAGCCAGACTATTTAGGGAGAGGCATATTTATAGGCCTTGGGAAAGCGTCGCTTACTCCCCATCATACCCCTGCCCTGTTTGCTTGCAAGCACCTGGAGCGGTGGGGCACGGCGAAGGCTGCGCTTGCATAGCCCAGGGCTGGAGCATCACTCCTGGAGCCCCTTGACCCTACCAGAACCCCTTGTCCGCCTCAAGACGGCTCCTGCTCACACTAGCACAGCAGGAGCCCCAGGGCAAGCTCAGACACCCGGTGCTGCTATGAGTGCTACCGCCAGCGGGATGAGGGTTTACAGTGCGGCCGCATCAGCATTCCTGGCAGCAGATAAGACACTCAGCGCCTGCCAAAATCCGCTGCAACAAGGATGCACCCAGATTCCCATGCTGGCTGTCTTCCACACGGCTCCCAAGGTGCCGGGGAAGGAAAGCCGTCGCAGGAGGCAGGAAGGAACGGATGCTTGCTCAAGAGCAAGACGTGCCTTGTGTACAAGTGCTGCCCAAGCAATACTCCAAGCCACTTCCCCTGGGAGAGAGAACAGGTTTTCCATACCGGAGAAGTGACCAGGGTGCTCGGACCGACAGTGGTGCAACACAGTGCACGTGGAGGTGCGGGGGTGCTTTTGTATTGAAAGAAAAAGGAGGAAGGAGGAAAAGGGAAATGCTATAAACTGCATTACCAGTGTTGAGTTGGCAACCCCCTCCTCAACAACCTGAAAAACACCAAGAAAAATAAAATATGTATAATTGAATGAAAATCCCTTTGAACTTGGTTCTGGAGGATCAGAGCMCTTTGTAAGTGTCCATCCTTCTTGAGAAAGGGTGGAAGAACCTGCCCTCCACACACGTTTGCASCTCTGAGCTAATGCTGCACACTGGGGCTGATTGCACATCTGACCTGCAATCCGTGCACACTGCAAGAGCCCAGAACAGGCTTTGAAGTGAAGCAGAGTAATAGTGCTGAAGCAGTAATAATTTTACCTTAAATATTTCAAAATCCTAAGCTGCATTTGACTCCCTCTTGGAGTGGCATGGCATTGCATGAGGAGCTCAGAAAGCGATTATGCCCTGCAGGCAGCTGGAGACACAAGCGACTTCACCCAAAGTCTTGGGGCTCCTCAGTCGCGTAGGCAGCAGGAGCTCTCCACTTTCTGCTGGTCTCTGCACTAGGCAGGACATGCACAGCCCTACAGGATGCTGTTCCGAGGGGCACAAGGGCAAGACGAGTGTCTCCCACACCACGTAAAGACCTTCCCCACAACACCGTGCAAGGCCTCACTCAGCACCGAGGGTGGCCCAGGCTCTCTCAGGCCCTTCCTCCTACCTGACAGATTAAGCTAATCCAGTGGATCCTCTCTTCCTCCCCCCATGCTGCCCCGGGCACAGCCCCACACTCACCCCTGTTCCAAGGGCCTGCCCCAGGCTGCCGCTTGCCAGGGCAGGCAGGCACTGGAAGGGAGCTGCCAAACTCCCTTGAGTTTGCTTGCAAAACTCGGGGACGAGAGGTTATCACGACCACTGCGGTGCCCGCACATCATCAGAATAGGCAGCTAATTAGGTCAGGGTATAATTAGCTTGATCTGCAGACTTCCTGCTCCTGCTGCCAAGGGGAAAAAACACCCCAGCGGCTCCCATGGCCACCAGAGGCCTGGCCATGCTCATGCAGTTCTTGCGTCCTGCAGCTGCCAGCAGGTCAGCAGCAGCCAGACCAACAACCCTGCTTGGCCTGGACTAGGGACTGAGAGGTGAACAGAGAAGATCAGAGCACCTGCGTAAAGTCCCTTCTACCCTAGGTCTCACGCAAGGAGAGATAACCTGAACGTGGGAYTCTGGCACAGAGGGAAAGACCCCAAGGCAGGGGTTACAGGAGCTGCACGTCCAGGACCGGAAGAATTTTTCAACCCACACCTCATTCAAGGGTGGAGATCTGAACTTGGCCCCTCTSACAGCCTTGACATTAATCACAGGGAAGTCCCATACCCAGAAGTGCGTCCCATCAGAGAAACTCAGCCCCAGGGGGTCAGGAAACTCCCACACGCAGGTCAGTCCTTGGCTCCCACTCTGACTCTACCAAGCTTCCAACTCCTCTGTGCCCTAAGACAGATTTGGACAGAATTACAGTTTCAGCAGCACTTCCCTACACGAGAAACTCCTGATCCCAACACAAGCCTGCAATCCCAAGCACGGTCACCTCTCCTAGTGAGGCTCATGAGGAGGGGAAGCAATAAGGGTCATCCAGAACCTTGCAGCTACACAATGAGTAAGAGGGAAGGAGAAGAACAGAGCTGTAGGGCTCCCAGGGAAGCTGTGGGTCCCAGCTCACCTCCAGGCAGGAAGGTTTCAAGGAGAGAGCAGGATTTTTTGGCCTGCCCTACCCACAAGGGACACAGGCGCACACCCCAAAAGAGTCAGGAGAGCAAACTGATAAGCAGCAGTTTCAGGCAGGAAGTTTGACCTTAAACCTGACAGCCGACGGCAGGGGGAAGATATCCCGCTCCTGCAGACGTGCCCCTTGCTAACGTCAACGAGGAGGAGCCCGGAGCGCAGCAGCCAGGGCCGACGGACCCCAGTGGGACCCAAGGCGCGGGCAGGAAATACGGGAGGCGCCTCCTCCGGACACTGCCCCACGCGCGACACCGGCGCACAGCCCCAGTCCGCTTCTCTCCCCCCCCTCCAAAAAAAAAMCTTCGACCCCCCCGCCCCCGGCAAAGCGCCGCCTCCGCGGCACTCACAGGCGGAACATGCGCTCCATGTCCTTGATCTGCCGCCTGCTGAACTCCTTGAACTCCGTGTAAGGATTGAAGACGGCGGCGGCCCGCGGCCGCGCCGCGCCCTCGTTGATGTCCTGCCGCCGACTCAGCTTAGCGCTCAGCTCCGAGTCCGCGTTGGCCGTGAGGCAGCTCCGCTCCTCGGCCGGCTCCTCGGCCGGCTCCGCGCCCGGTTCCCCCTCAGCCGCCGGGCCGCTCTCCTCCAGCAGCAGCCGCCGCTGCAGCTTCTGCGCCAGCTCCTCCGAGGCCATGGCCGGCAACGTCGCTCGCCCCGCGCGCCGCTGGAGCCGCCGCCGGCCCTCAACTTTATTCCCTCACTCGGAGGAGGCGCGGCGGGACGGGGCGGCTCCGGCAGCGGCGCGGGCGGGACGGGGCGGAGCGCGGCGGGACGGGGCGGCGCCGCCGAGGTCCCCTCCGGGACCGCCCCGCGCCCCGCTCCCTGCGACGGCATCGCCACCACCGGCGGCATCCCCGCACGGGGTGGATCACCCCTCCATCAGCCCGCTGCCCCTCCCCCTGCCTTCACCCGCCTGGGACCCCAAAGGTGTCCAGAGAACCGTGACTCCACCATGGGTCCCATGGGGTCACCACCAGCCAGCAGCTTGCCCTTTTTCTGAGCTGGCTATTAATACTGCCATGAGGCGGCTTAAGGCTGCGGCAGATGGGATTTACCCACCTGGGGTGCTAGCACGTCACGGGGCAGAGTGTGCACCACTGGCAAGGAGCCATGTTGTGCGACTGTTGTACAGTCTGCAAGTGCAGAGCCCATGACACTGTGGCCTCCACCTGCTTAGCCTTGGGGACSATCAACCTCCCGCCAAACAGTCCGAGAAGGTTCTGTGCCATTCCCATCCCCAAGGGCCCCCAAAGAGTCACACCAGGCCTTGACCTTGATTTTGCTGAGGCTGAGCAGAAGCAGTGTCCTGGCACCAGCACATCTTGACACCTTCTGAAGCAAGAAGGAAAGTGGTGAGGAAAAGTCACCCTACATTGGACTGTGACTGGGGTGAGCTGCACTCGCATGCGCCCTGTGACGGCCACGCTACACAAAACAGAACTGTAGAACCAGGTGGAGCTATTGCTCTCTGATAAGATTGCTTCAGCTCTGCAAAAGCAGAGACACAGGATATAAAAAGAGGAGTGGACTACATATGGACAGTAGCACAGGGGAGGGGAGTGAGTGTGCAGGACGTGCAGTAAAGAGGGCAGGTATTAAATGCTGCTGTTTTCCACAGCCATACCAGCCTGAAAACACCCTATCTTGGAAGCTAAGCAGGGTTGGGCCTGGTCAGTACCTGGATAGGAGACCTCCTTGGAATGCTGGGTGCTGTAAGCACACAGTGTGTCTGGCTGAGCGTGAGCTCCTGGTGCTGTGGGGAGGACTTGTGAGGGTGTTTTGCAGGTCGTGTTTCGTGTGGAGGTTGTGTGGGTGTGTTGYACGGGAGCTTTTGTGCAGGTAGCATGTTGAGAGAGGGGTTGTGAGTTGGGGACGTTTCCCGAAGGAGCTAAACCGGCGGCCGAAGCTGCTAAGTGAAGCACAAGGACAAGAGCAGCGAGAGGGAGGCAGTCCCAGACCCAGGTGGCTCTGACGCTACGTAGGCGGGGCCAGCAAGGAGGGCGGCAGTTTAAAAAGCCGTGAAACCGCCTTTTCCTCTCACGACTGTGAGGAGAGGAGCTATGGAATAGCTCCTCTAAAGAGGCGGGAAAAGCCACCAAATAAAGCGCAGAAAGAGCCAGAAAGCTCCAGGCAGGGTGGGCGGTGCCAGTGGGGGCAGCGCGGGTCCCGCGCAGCCCTCAGGAAGCGGGAGCGGCGGGGAGCCTGGCGCGCCGCCCAGCGCAACAGCGAGCGAGCAGGGCGGGGCGGGGGCGCCGCAGCCACCTCCCGCGAGAGCCGCGCCTTGGCGAGGGCGCCTTGCAGGGGCCTGTGTGCGACGGCCAAAATGGAGGCAGGAACCGCCACTGACCTGGAGAACACGCAGCCGTCCAGCTGCGAGGCTGAATTGAGTCTGGAAGCTTGGCACCTGGTGAGATGGTGACTGTGTGAGATGTGAGCAGGCAGAAGGTCTGCTCAGCATAGCAGCTGAGCTGCAAGAGGTGGAAAAGCTGTGGAGAATCAGGAATTCAGAGAGGAGGGGGAAAAGGCTGGTGGTGTTAGACTTTGACCTCTGAAAAACCCGAGCAGGCACCAGGAAGCTCCCAACAAAAAAGCACTGGGATATCCATCCCAAAACTGACACAAGGCAGGAGATACCAAGATGAATTGGAAAAAAAAGTCCAGGCTTGAGGTGGCAAGAGAAATATGTGTTTTTCCATCTCACTGTACCAAGTACCTCAATGTAACAGGCATGATATCTTGGAGGACAAAGGCCAATCAGTGGATGGTGAAGGCAAGAGTTCCTCTCCTTGAAAGATAAATCCAGGGTCAGAAAGGACAGTCACTCCTATTCTGATTGCATGCAAGAGGAACAACAGGTAAGTTATAGTCATTCATGATTCCACAATAAAGGAAACAGGATTGAATATGTAGAAGGAGTCCTCCTCTGTAAGGCAAGAACACTGTCTTCTGGGGGCCAGTGTTAAAGATGTTGCCTGGAAACTTTCCAGTATGATTTGACTCGCAGACTATGTTACCCATTGCTGCCTCTGTGTATGAGAGGAGAGGAAGAGGACTAACCCAAAAGGGACTTCGCAGAACATGGATACGTGACCAGGGACTTGGGTGTGTAGGTCATAATCTCCATCATTCTCCCTGGTGCTCACAGCAATAGGAAGGAGAGAAAAAAAAAAAAAAGAAAAAAGAAAAAAAAGAGCATGCAATGTGTTAACAGGTGACTCTAAGGCTGGCGTAGTAGCAAAAATGTGCTGTTCTTGGGCATGCCGAAGCCTTAAATAGCACCAAACAAGATAGCGTGGGATGGGAATAATCTTTTGCGAATGGGGAATAGGGTCCTTGGCAATGAGGTAAAGGAGCTTATAGATAATGCATTAAAAAAATTCCATAAAAAAAGATAATATCAGCTGGGAAGCTAGAGGTAAGGAAGATGATGACATAGGCCTGGGTGTAGCGTGAGCTATAGGCTTCTCCCAAGGGCTGGTGATCCTTTTTTCTGGGGTCACGGTATCTCTGGCTGTACGTGTGTTAATAATGTTGTGCAGAGAGCATGTGAGGGTGCTGTTGCAGGTCGTCTTTTTTTTGAAGGTTGAGAAGGTGTGTTGCGGCTGGTGTTTCGTGCAGGTAGCCAGTGCTAGGCCTGTGATCGKAGTGTGTTGTTTTCGACAGTGTTGTGCCCGATGTGCGTGGCGCAGTGCTGTGAGTGTAGGAGTTGTGAAGTGAGTGT